GTGTCTGTGTCTGTGTCTGTGTTGTTTCTGTGTCTGTGTCTGTGTCTGTGTCTGTGTCGTTTCTGTGTCTGTGTCTGTGTTGTTTCTGTGTCTGTGTTTGTGTCTGTGTTGTTTCTGTGTCTGTGTCTGTGTCTGTGTTGTTTCTGTGTCTGTGTTGTTTCTGTGTCTGTTCTGTTTCTGTGTCTGTGTCTGTGTCTGTGTCATGGATAGATGGATAAATATAAGAGAACAGAATGAAGAGTGAAACAGGAACCAGAGGACATAAGTATGTGAAAGCGCATTTACAACCGAGAGCAGGAGACACTTCTTCACACAAAGGGCTGTGAGAGACTTGAGAAAGCTCCCCAGCCATGCTGTTGAAGCCAATGCTCAGACATTTTTTCATGAAATGGCTGGAAAAAAATGAATTAGCTGCTAGTAATAAAATGAAGTAGAAACAGCAACTGGACTCCTCTCATTTGTAACCTTCCTTATTTATGTCTGGTGTGTTTTTTCCCATTTGCTCCAGTATCCCCCTACAATCGAAAGACACTCTGTCTAGGCTAGCTGGTGTCTCTACATTGTCCCCTCCATTGTATGTATGTGTGTCCCACAGTGGACTGGTGTCCAGTCTAGGCTGGATCCTCCTTTGTGCTCAGTTAGGCTCTAGCTTACTGTGGCCCAGTATTGAACCGAATACATGTCGAAAATGGACTGGTGAATACAAATCAATTTATTCTTATAAAAGTGTGCAATCATAATATGTAATACCAAGCCAGTTGTTTGAAAGATCGGTTTTCTTAATGACAGCTTTTCTCAACTCTGTAGTTCGAAGAAAACATCTCGTCAAGTCACGCCTAACTCCATCCAGCAGGGGGCGATGTCTCAGCGTTCAAGTGCAAAACTGAAGATCTAACGGGTTTTAATTTAATTTACCCGCAGATTTCGTGACTCCGAGGCTTCGCGTAAGGTGAACCGCAGAAGGAGGATGAGCTCAGGAGAGAGAAAAACCGGGATTGAGCAGGATAGTAGAGGGAAGGTAGTTAGAAGTGTCTGTTCTTCGCGTTTATATATGATAGAGGGTGTAAAGCACTAAATGTAAGAAAACTGATAATGATTCGAAGATAATGTTTCAAATGCAAAATAAGAAAAGTTAGCATGTATAAAGTGTTTTTTAAAACATTTGATTTGGGGCCATTTTTGCCTGGACAACAAATATTTTGGTTAAAATATTGACGAATTTGGGCCGGAAATGAGTGACGTCACCGGCCCCTGCTTTAAAGAGTGAAATGAACCACCAAATTAACCAAAAGAGGCCAGTCTGTGTTTCTAGTTGATAAATACAGTACATAAAACCGTGTAGGAAACCCTCCTCAAATCGAAAAGGTACGCGGCAGGATGGGTTTCCCTTCAGTCCGTTTCTCTCTGTGAGAGACGTGCCGCCATGATCCGCGAAGGGCGTGAAGTGTCACCGCGCGTTTCTTGCGAACAACACGATAAAACCACCTCGGTAATGTGACAGATAACCGTCACTTAGTGTTAGCTTGTCGCTGCTGAACTATTCCCAGTTGTTGGCGGAGTATATTAGTATACTATTTTAATTGTATATTGCAGTACAAAAGTTCACTACGCTGTAGTTTGCTCTCTTGTAATACTGTACAATGCCCCCCTGGTCGACATTCGTCAATATTTCTGTTTTCTCACGAGCAAAAGCTGTATTTACCCACGGGTTTGTCGTAATTCATAATAGTGTCTTGGAACTCTTCTAGTCCCAAATGGAGCGAAGCATCCAGATTGGAGCAGTTTGTGTGTTTTCTAATGACATAAAGATTTTGTTCCTTGGGAACCTCAATCTCTTGTTTAAAAAAAATTGTAGCTATTAATGGGAGCAACCATATAGTTTATCTGAAGATATACTCAAGTTTTTGTGAAGAAAACGTTAAATATCCAGCTATAACAAATCCATCCATCCATTTTCCAACTGCTGCTGTTCAGTTAATGGCTGCGGTGGAGCCAGAGCCTATCCTGGCAAGCAACTGGCACAAGGCAGGATACACCCTGGATAGGACGCCAGTCCATCACAGGGCACACAGACACAACCCCTAACACGCTCACACCAGGGCCAATGCTCCAGGAAGACAGTGAACCTACTAGCATGTGTTTGGAATGTGGGAGAAAACTGGAGCACCTAGAGGGAACCCACATGAACAAGTGGAGAACATACGTGTACAAACTCCATGCAGCTTCACACATCTCTCTCCACCTCCAACAGCACTGCAAAGCAGCAATGCTACACTATGCCAGCAAGCCACCCTTTCCAGATATGCACCTCACACCTGAAAAAGGCCCCACGGCCAAAACATTGTTTTCTTTCTTCTCATTTCTGCATTGAATAAACTATTACTTGTTCCTTTCCAGATTGTGTTGTTTCCTTTCCGTGTTGTTGAGAAGGATTGTCTGTAGAGTTTGTACAGACATTTATTACAGATTTTCTCAGATACAGTTTTCAGTTAAATAATTTACAATATATACATTGTTGGCTGAATTGTGAGATATTTAAAGTCAGATTCTGAATTGGCATTTTCGGGAAACACCCAGGAAAATGAAGTCTTATAATAACATTTACCAGCGGGGGGCGCTCTTGTAATTAATATGGTATTGATGACAGCATGCCTTATGAGAAGGCGCAAAGTACTGTATATCTGAAGTATCAGAGAAACAGGTTTTCATTTTTATACAGAGTTGTAAATTTAATTAATATAGAGAAGGAAAATCAAATATGTAGCCTATGTAAGATTTCATTTTTGTTACTGTTCTTTGTTCTATGTCTCAGGTTTGTGAGAAAGATGAGTTTGTCGTTCTACAAAAGAGAGACTTGGAGAGACTAACGACAGAAGTGATGCAGCTGCGAGAATTCTTGCCTAAGGTCCTCAATCGGGGCTTTTTCACTATGCTTCAGAAATCCTGTGAAGGAGAATTAAGTAAGATTTTGTGGGAAAAAAAGCCTTTTGAACTGTCTTTGTAGATTACTGTAAGAAAGTGAAGTATCCTGCAGCTCTTCATACATTTTCTGGTGCCACGTTATTCTCAGAATCGTGGGGAGGTGGGTCTACACCCGGGATAGACTACCAGGCCAGCGCAGGGCACACACACAGTTAACACACACATGTATACAAGAGTGCTGGGGCCCTGGGAAACTAATGTGCAGCATTTCCACAACCTGAAAAACAACTCTAAAAACAAACATTCAAAGAGACTGAAAAGAATTTGGAATAAACTGTTATTTTTCAGTCATAATCTCTTAATTTGCTACCTGAGCCTAATGAGGGGTAGCTATAAAATGTACAATATAATGATTGAAAAAAAATCTTTTTGTGTTCTGGCTAGATTTTTTTCAATCTTGAGTTCACAGATTTTTGTATAATATTTTATCATAGGTTAAGGGTTGCACAGGTAAAGAACTAAAGAGATCAGCATACTGTACATAGTCTCCAATTTTGTAAAAAAGGGAGTCCTATCCATTTAAATCAGATTATTATCTTTTAAGCAGATTGTATTGGTATTTAGAGCAGGATACCCAAACATTTTATAAGTTGAATAATTCTATGTAATAAGTTGTTTGTTTATATTAATTGGTATTTTATACCTTCCCTGATGCAGTATGAAAAGGACATTTCATACCACACAGATACTAATGGTGTCAGTGGCCAGAACTGGTTCTGCAGCACATTGCCTTGAGCAAAAGACAACATTTCCCCTGCTGCCACTTGTGACTTCTGAATCAACCATGAAACCTAAACCAGAGGAAACAAGTTCTGGAATTTAAAATTAAGAAGAGGAGGCTCTCCTTTACACAAAGGGTTGTGGGAGTATGAAACAAGCTTCCCTGACAGGGTGTTGAAGCCGATACCTTAGTTTAGTTCAAAGAACAGCTGGACGAGATCTTGGAATCTGTTAGCTGCTAAAACCACACTGTCTGGGCTGCATGGCTTCGTCTGTTCTGTGACATTTTTTATAACTTAAAAAGATATGAATGTGTGTGTGTGTGGGGGGGTGCTCGGGGTACTGATGGCATATTATGGCCATGTTCAGATTTTGGCTGCACAATTGACTTGATTGACCAGATGTCCCCAAGCCATAGCTTTCGGTTGTAGAAAGTCTCTAAGGTTGGTCTGGCCCAACACAATAATGACACCTAAGTCTTTACCAGACACAGAGGGAAATGGAGACTGCTCCAGTCAGTGCTAACTCCTGAAAGACACGGTGGAGCTCGCCATATGCCAAATGGCAAGTGGCTACAACAGTTTGCCAGTGTAGAGTGGGAGTTGGTACACCACGGACAATCATGGGTTACCAGTTGGGCGAATCCAGATCTGAGGTATAAAGCATTCCACATTCATGCAAAATCAATCATAGGTGGGAGGGGGTAAAACTGTTTTCTGAGACTGTATCTCCCCAGCTCACAGATTGAGCCAGTCTCTTCTTGCTCCTCTCTGGCAGTGAAGGACAAGAAGCAGGAGGAACAGGAGCACCTGAAGCAGGACTGTGAGCACTTTCGTGCCCAGCTAGAAACAGCCCAGGCCGACTGTCAGAGAGAGAGAGAGGTGAGGTGTCAAACATACCTCCTTAGCAGCCACACCAGCCGCTGTGAACTCATTGTTCACTTTTTTGTTTACTCACATACAGTAGATGTTCTGCATTATCAGTTTGACTTGGTCAGTTCTAGTCCAGGTTCTTCAACCACCCAGACCCAGACATGACGATTTGTCCAAATGATTTTGCTGCAGCTTTACATGGCATTACAAACACAAGCTTATTCAGGGACCGAAAGTAAATGAAGCATTTATGTTGTCCATGGTGCACCTGAAGTATGCAAAATAAACTCTAACATAGAACTTGTTTGGCTTCACAGACTTGTTAGAGATTTGCAGAGCACAGCCTTGGCTGTACTATAAATATCGTATTGCGTTTTCGGTGCCCTCAGCCTCCATCCCCTTGATCACACTCCTATTCAACTAATGACAAAATAATAATTGAGACAAACCTTAAGTGAGGTACATCAATGAAGAGATGATAAACACAGTAAAACGAAACTAAAACTTAAGCAAAACGAAACTTTTAAATATACTTTTTAATCTCAATTTATGGGAAGGAGTTAAAAACCCTGACACGATTGTGTAAAGTGAAAAAGGAAATTGGTGCTCTTAATATCCAGACACATGGAAGCCATGCTGTAGTAGCAGCTGCACTGCATAACAGATCAGGAGGAGAAGCCATGAATAGCTTCACCAGTTGAATTAAGGGGGAATGTTTGGGAGAAATACAGTTGGGATACCTGGATTAACATCTCTGCTCTCTTGAAATGTGCTCTGACATCTTTAATGTACCAGCAATGTGCCACGTTCTTGTCCACTAACATATCTTATGGTAGCAAAACTGGTTTTCCTTAGTGGTCTAAAGAGATCTTTTCTCAGATCTGATGAAATTAGGCTATTAGGGGATCATGCTACTGTCACAAACCAACGAAAACTTGATTCGTTTTTGAGCAACTAAAACCCATACTATTTTACAGAATGTTATTTGTATTAGACCTTGCAATAACAAAAGAGAGACATGCAGCTAAGGTGTGTGTGCAATATTGCCGCCATTCAAGAATGTTTTGATCAGTAGTTCCATATTCTGGTGATGACTTGGTTAGCCTGTTTTTTTTTACAGGGTCCTGTTGTAAGCATAAGTGTTAGTGACAGTTTATGTTTAGGCGCTCAACACATTGATTTTTATTTTGAGTTTAGAATAAGTATTGCGAACTTGAGACAATGTGGGAATGAACCTTTTTTTCCACTAGATATCTAATGTAATGGACGGAAATGTGTATTGTTCATCTGACAAGGGGACAAATCTTGTACAAAACGTTTTGTGCGAGGTTGTATCAGGGTGGCAAAGTCATTAAAGATCAAGTGAAGCACTACCAAAACCTTGTGACATACCCTGTGTTTTTTTTTCTAATTTTCTGGTGTTAATAGTAGAGCTGAACAACAGCCACTTCTGTACTGAGCAGAGCTTGCTGTAGTGAAGAGGGTGCTACACCACGTGGCTTTCAGAGCCAACAACTTTAATTTTTTTCTGCCAGCTGTCTTCTGCTCCAGTCCCAGAAGACAGCTGGGACTTGAAAAGTCGCGTATAGCTTTAAAAACACACGACCAGTTGCAACCAAGAGGAGGTCATTCTTGCTCGTCCAGTTGCTAGTCGTGAATTGATCCAAGGATCTCATCCAGAGGTTCCCCTTTCCCCCTGCTGGAGCAGCGTGGAAAGTTTGAGCCTGGATTAGAGCCTCCAGGCACCTGACCCGTACAGCCCTAGACAAGAGTCAGATGGCAGAAGTCTGGCCTCTCAGCAAGGGGAGTTAGGAGCCATTGAGACCCCTTGGGAGTGTTGTCACTCTAACGGTCTTGTCTTACACCGTGAGAGCTGTTACTGTAGGGCAAGGCTTTTAGGGGTAGAGGTAATAGTCATTTAGGGGGCAATACGTGCCAAATGTAAACATACATACTGTAGTAAAGGGGATGAACATGAAACATATGAACAGATGAATGTCAGAGGCTAGTGTGAATTTGAATATAATTTTGAAATACTGGCATGATAAACAGCCTCACTGGTCATGATCATTAATGCTGATGAAATCAAGTCTATGTAATATACCATGTATGCCCTTACAAAAAATCTGTGTATTTATGAGCAATCATAGTCATGTACTGTACCTGCCCTTTATTGAACCCCATAGATTTTAAACTTTCCTCCTGGAGGGTTGCTCTTAATTTGGTATGTCTTTTCTTAACAATAATATTACATTCAGAATAATCTTTTCATCTTTGAAAGTACAGTAAAAGCCCACATTAACTGTTCATTTTTCATGAAAGGTGTGACATTTTTGTCACACCTTTCGTGAAATATCCCAGTGAAGCAGTTATCACTCACTGCCTGGATGGGTCATTTCTTCCACAAGCCCACGTCTCTTTTGTACTGAAAAGCCTCTGGTTTCTCTCCTTGATTGAATCACACGTGTGTAATTTCCAGAAAGGTGCTCTGTCCTGTTTTCTTGCCACCAGGGAGGTGGGGGGAGGATAAATGTGTTATTCCCCTTCAGGATGTTGATTTCCTCTCCCACATTTCTCAACAAAGTCAACTATGTTCCGTGCCAGGGACTAGCCTGATTTGGTTTTCCATTTACTTTCCACTGGGCATCTTTGTTGTGTGTAATCCTGAATTATTTAAGTGCTCTTTAGCAATACTAATGAACCAATATGTTATTAAAACTCCATTAAGTAATTGGTCATTAAAGCACGAGTTAAAGCTATGTCCAGCAGTGCCACAGACTACGTGTCTGTCAGAGAGTGAGGGGGATTTTGCGGTCGTGACTAACTGCTTTTTGATTTTGAACTACAAGATTGCCAGGTGTTGCTAGCGATGGTCACAACACAAAGGAGAAACAGGACTGGGACTAATATTTTTAGATTTACAGGATGACCATTAGTGTGCAGATATCATTGAGAAGTAATGTGTTCAGAGGATTGCCACAATAATCCTTGAACACTCTCTTAAATTGACACAGCGCACTTTCAGAGGAGGTAAGACCTGTCCAATGAAGCATTAAGTGCAGAAAAAGATTCAGCCCTTGTGTTTATTCCAGTAATAGGTTAATCACAGATAGTCCATCTATCCAAACTCAGTAACTGCTAATCTGTTGACTTTGGAATTTAACTGTACATAATTAATCTTCACTGTATACAGTATGCTCGTGCAGTGCTAGCACTTGCAATTCAAGAAACACAGGCAGGCAGTTAGCAGGGAAACTTGTCTGGCTCTGGAGCAGGACTGAACCCACTAGCAGGATGTACTGATTCCTTTAAGTGATATCTGTTGGATTAACAAATTGTTGAAAAGTTGAAAAGAGTAAGTGTAGGTCATTCACACAGCCTGGACAGAGAAACCACTGTGAGACAATCTCAAGTCTCTTCCAGAACGTGGTTGTAGTATATTACACACAGAAAGGTGTCACAAACTGCACACAGTCCCACGAGCACCCACTAATTAACTTCACGCACTTTGTCTATTTAAACTTCCACTCTGCAACTTGTCCTCACTCACTATTGAGGTTTCCTCAACCTGAGCTGCATATCTAGTTAGCGATTTTCCCTGACTTATCGTTTGTTTTTGTGACCCCCTGTATTTCTGACGTACCGCTTCTGATCTCCGACCTTACTGTAGCCTCACGACTTGGATAACGTTCGCCTCGGATTTCAGTTTTCTCTCTCACTCTCCGCACAGGGTCTTTTCCTACCTTTTCCATCAGAGTACGTAACAGAAGGTGTTAGCAGCTTTGGGCTTCTGTACTTCTGTATCCTTGCTGGTCACACTCATCAATCGAGCATCTCTGCCACCATCAATCAAGTTACGTCAGCCTTGTTAAAAAGCTGCCTTATATCAGTATTTCGCTTAATCATTCATTGCCCAATATTGCACAGAACACTTCCCGATAATGTGGACAGTGAGAATTAGGAAATGGTCCCGTTATGAGCTTCATGCGTACGGTAGATGATTTGTGATGCTCAGCATGTGGAATGAGAAGAATTTCGGGGCTTCTGCTGTGATCGTGATATTGCTACTCTGTTTTTCTGTTGCTTTCGAGGATCAGTTACAGATGGTACTTTAGAAGACTACAGTTGAAATGATATAGCTGTATAAATATACTTTTTGGTCAGAATGACACTTATTTTCTTATTGTAAGCTTAAGGATGCAAGCTATAGTGCTAAAATGATACATTGTCTCTTTTGTGTCTTAATGTTGTTGTTGTTGTGCAATATTGGGCAATGAATGATTAAGCGGGATACTAATATAAGCCAACAGCCATATCACTATGCAACTCACAACTGGCA